CTATTCATTATCCATTAATCAGCTTTGTGAGCTAGTCTACAGTCCAAAGAGACCAAAGAAGCCAAGGTATTCGGAAGCACAACACATGGTTTAGTTTTTTCCTTAGGTCGGCTTATTTCATCATCTTTGAAATCACAGCAAGTTCCCTGAGTATCAAGCTGATCTAATCTCTAAATAAATGATCCCCTACTAGTTTACATTCCCAAAAAGCACCTGAAAATGAACCAAACTCCCATTGTCATTACTCGAGCTGTAGTGCAGAAAGAGAAAACAAAAATCTGGTAGCTATAATCTAGACAAGGTGTGAATCTCCTACGCTAATAAAAATTAGCGTAATATTTCACAATAACATCAATTCCAACAGAGTAGTTAGTCTTTCTTATAAAAGCAATTTTTTGAACGGAAAAGATAAGATGCTTTCATGAACAACTATCACTTAAGAGATTTGCTTCGTCCTTAGCTTAAAAGAGATACAAGGAGGAAGCTTAGTCTAATTGTCCAAAGTGATTCTTTCTTGATTGGGTGCCAGTATTCTCTTAATTCCAAAGGCAGTCAATCTCCTTCTAAGAAAAATATCCAAAGTGTTTCACTTTTGATCAAATTACGTCTAATAACAAAACTAACAAGACATAGGCTTGCATTTTGATGCGTGATACTTTCTGTCAATGAATAAAATGGAGGTTTATCACAAAGTAGTAAAACGGCAAAATAAACAATCAAACAACTAACCTTTTTTTCTTCTTTACATCTTCAAGGAATTTTGATAACGCCTTTTACATTATCCACTGTGTGAATCCTCCAAAAGACTTCAGAGTTACTTTCCCCCTCCGAACACTTTTTTATCATCCTGCTTCCTAAACAACCAATCAGCAAATACACAAAAACATTTAATTCATTGACATAGTAAATTACGTAATTATCCTTTCTGGCGGCAGTGTTTCATAATCCAAATACTCTTTGGAGCGGATTACATGGAGAATAGGCGTAACCAGAGTTTTAATTAAAGGATGCACAAAGACAGTACATGCATCTTCCGATCTACTACCCCAGTCCCGCTAGTGTTTCCGACAAGAGGCAGAGGAGCCAAGCTGTGATGGAGTTAAAGGCGGCGCGCGGCGAAGGACGACCCATGCTCGCTCAGTCTTCCTGTTGTTGCGTATGAGAAAACAATGTGCCGGGCGAAAGACGATAAGCAGACGCGCGAACTGCAACGAATACGTAGGGATGAAAAGAGGACAACAGTTGAGGAAGCGGGAACGAGAACGATGCCGTAAGGACGAGTTTAGGGCTAAAATAAGCGGGAACGGAAACGATGCCGTAAGGACTAGTTTAGGGATAAAATAAGCGGGAACGACGCCGTAAGGACAAATTTAGGGCTAAAATTATCAAGGGAGTAAGTTCCGTTTGGTTCTTCAACTATAAATGAGCATTTTTAATTCTTTAATTTTGCTAAAATAGAACACTTTTGATCTCTTTAACGAAAATCATTAAAAATAATGGTGTTAGATCTCCAACCCAACATCAAATTTTACGCCAAATACTATTTTGGTATAAGATTTGGTATTTTGAAACTCCTGTCCAACACTTTGTTTGGATGGTTGTTACATATTTTGTTGTATTATATTGTTAGTTTAAATATATTGTTTGTTTTGATTGTTATTTAAATTTTATTGTATTATTCGTTTAAATTCATTGTTAGGTAACGACGAAAAGACTCATTTTATGTAACGATCGATTTGGTGTGATCGCATCATTATCTTACTATTTTCTTCTCGACTTATCTTTATTTACTATTTAATAATTATATTGTATCTTTTACCATACTTTTTCATAGTAGCTCTATCCGTAACCTACTTTTCTTGTAGGTTTATCATTTAAATTATGGATATATGACATTATGTAACAACAGAGAACGATACAGTCTATCCTTGTATTCATACAATACGATACAATATAATTCGATACATTATAAATTAATACATAACAACCATCCAAACATAATGTTAGTGTGAATAGTGTCTCACCAAATTTGGTGTGTCACTATTCATACACACTATTTAAATCACTTTTAAAATATTATATAAAACTTTTAATTTGACATTTTTTAAACGGTATGGTTTTGATTAAATCTCTTGTATACTTAATTGTTTTTTATGTAACAAATTTATAATATTAATTTTATATCTAAAATCTAGCGCATGTGAATTAATTTTCTTATTTATGACCTTTTTAAAAGTAAAAATCTATGTTATTTTTACAAATTATAATTGGATAAAACTATAATTATAACCTTTACAAAAATTAAAAAAATACAAATATAATAAATTATTAGAGAAATAGTACAACCTATTTTTAATATTCAACAACCGGAAATAATAAACATTCAAACAAATTAGTAATTAATGTACATCAAAAATGAAAAAAATACAATACATAATGATTTTAAATAACTACAATATATAATACATAATAATTTTAAAAACCAGAACAATATTTTATGTATGAAAATAATTTTATATTAAATGACTATATAAGAAAAGAATATTAGTTATTTAGGGTGAATATGTGAAAAGATTATAAAGAATTTATTTTATAAAATAAGAAAATATAAATGAAATAAAAATAATAATATAAAGATATAGAATAATATAAATAGAATATTCTTTTTTTGTGTGTGTGTAAATTTTAGTATAATGGGATGAAGTTGATTTACACTAAAATAGTGTTAAGACTATGTTAGTGTAAAATTTTGTGTTATAGATTGGCTCAATTGAATTGGAGGATGCTCACCCATATGACTGACCTGGGATAGATTTTCCCTTAATATGTTTTGAGTTGAGGTCACCCTAAGCTTGCTTAGTGCCTCGGAATCGGTCTCCTTTAATGTCTGTTGAGAGTCGGTATGTCACACTAAGTAGGCGTTTGGCCATGCGATACCATATCACGATATGATATCATGAGATAGAATAAGCGTTTGGACATACGATTTTACGCTGATTCCATCTCATGATTCCATATCACGAGAGGTGATACCATATTCTCCAAAATCATGATATGGAATTATATGGTGATTCCATATCATGATTTGAGATATTTTAATACAATAATTGATCCATGAGTTTATAATTTGTTAAAAACAACCCCACATTTATATCTACTAACCATTTGTTTCATATGTAAATAAAATTTATAATCACATCATTACTTTTTAAAATTTATTATTCTCACCAACATATAGTCACTTTAACTCACACCTCACGATTGTGGAGTAATAAAATTTTGAAGAGCCCGTGAAAGTTAGGTTGAAAGTTAGATTGAACATGTAGTGAAATGTGTTGTCTTATTTACTCCAATAAAATTAGGTTGGTAGGCTTAAATGCATAATAATTTATGCTCAACCATAAAACTTTGAAGAGCCAATAGTTCTATATATAAAACAACCCATAGTAATATTTATTGAACAACAAAGCAGATGAAATTGACCTAAGAGTCTTCTATCATTTTCAAAGTGAGTTAAACATTCTCTACTCTTTCAATTTTTGATTTGTATGACTAGATTTATAGTTTTTTCTGATTGGTTAACTAGATATTGCTAGTTACTTTGTAATATTTTTTTGAAATTAGAATACAATGAACATAACTTGTCAAGATTATTTGCGAGAATACCAAAGTAGTGATGAAATATTTATGGTCTATGAACATGAAGATATAGTTGCGGAGGATATTGACCAACAAATGGCTCAAAGTAACAATGTTGGTTCGTCTTCTTGATCGAGAAATGCAAGTTCAACGTGAGGAAATTGTCCGTACTATGTGGGAGGATTATATTAAAGACTAGTACACTACAATTTATGTTCAATTTTTTTTATTAAATTAAAGTTAGATGAAACAATTACTTAAGTGAAGAACAAATAACTTTGTAATAATTTATTATGCGATTTTATAATTTTTGTTTATTTGATAAGATTGAATAAACAATTGGAACTATTTTAATAGTTTTACAACTTATGAGATTTTTATGTTTATGAGAAAATATACAACACAAAAATTCCATATCGCATGTCCAAACAAACCTTCAATTTCATCTCATGATACCCAATCGCATGGCCAAACGGGCCCTAAGCTTGCCTAATATGCTTTACTAGTAATTGAAATTTGTTTAATGTCTTATGAGTTTGGTAATTGAAATTTGTATAATTATTAAGATAGTAATTATCAACCTAATAATTATACAATTTAATAATTAATGTATATTTTATTGGTAGTTAAAATTTATGTAATTACTAAAATAGTAATCACCAACCTAATAATTAGTGTATTTCAGGGCTTATTTGTTGAGCTTCTCATCTTGAACTGCTTTCATAAGAAGCTTCACTTTTTTGTCGAGCTTCTCATCTTGAACGGCTTCCATAAGAAGCTACACTTTTGGGACGAGGGATAATTTTCTTTGAGAGAAATGTTTGAAAACACTCTTAAATTTGACGCAAATTATTAGTTTCATCTTTGAAATAATGATAATCTTAAAAACACATCTCTACTTGACTAACTAAATTTACATACACCCCCAATCACCCTCGATCTGCTACAAAACATAACAAGTGGTCTCAAATTCTTGTATAACATGTAACTCTTACTAAAAAGTCGAGAAAAGTGTTGAAAACATCCTAAACTTTGCAAAAATTTAGGGGTGTATTTCGCTTATGTTATAACATCCGTGATATATATAAGTTCAATTAATTAAATAAAAAAATAATTTTAAAGGTATCTTTAATTTAAAAATGAAATTAATAATTCACATAGTGTTTCAATACTTCTTTTATTTTCTTATATTTTTAGAATATACTAATCACTAATGTAAGAAAATTGTGACATAAAAAAGGTGAGACAAATAGACAAGGGACCCAGCCAGTTACTGATCTAGATTATTAGCCAGACTTTTCGGCCTTCACGTGGGAGGCTTGACCAGTCAAATTTTCGGGAAAGCACTACTAAAAGTCTAAATTATAAACGCTTGAAACGTGAGCGCGAAATTTCGGTTGGTTTGAGAAGGAGCAAAAACAGTCCTCTTTTCTTATCTCCATTGTTTTTAACTACTTCTAGGGTTTTAATCTTCTCCGGTGGCCGCCATGGAAGATGTTCGGTCTACCACAGCTTGGGTCGCTACTCACTCCTCTCATGTTACCGTTGATTTCACAGGTCCCTCAGCACTCTCTCCTTGTTTTCCATTACGTTACTCCAATGCATTTCCGTTCTACATTGAATTAATTTTGTTTTAATCTCAAATTAGTTAGAGTCCGTTATATGAATCCTCCGTATCCGTTACGTTTTCTCCAGAATGGCGTGTATGCACTGTTTTCTTATTCAGATTCACGCTGATGGTAGTTCAAAGTGGTTTGTATTTGATATAAGGTTACATTTTGGTATGGGTTATGTTCAGGCATTGAGAAGGTCGCTGAAAATATGAAGAACTCACTACCAAAAGTGGAGTGGGATTTTGAAGGGATTCACTATTTTGATAATGGTCCACTTACTGTTCAGTATTTGCTGGTGTTGGATACATTGAATTTCTGTTTCTGGCCAGGTACTTTAATAAGTTTACCATTAAGGAAGCAGTAAACTGCCTTGTAAATTATTCAGATGCTAAACTTGTGAAATTGTTTTTAACATTATTTGTCTTTAAGCAATATTTCTTATAAATGACTGACTTTAAGTGCTGAGAAACTTCAGTGTTGTACTTAGGCAAAATGTCAGTAGTATCTTCTAACTTTTTATCCTTGAACTTGCACATTTAAGTTGATCAAGAAAGTTTGTAGTACAGAACCCTATTCATGATGCTTGATACTGGGGCTTCATTAAAGGTTCTTATAGCTGTTTTTATTTCAGCTGTTTGAATATATGCTTTGGTGTATTGACCTTATACTTGCATCTAAGTGCAGACGAGGAGATGAGTTATGATCATCTGGCATCTGGATTAAAGGTTACTCTTGAAAGTGACAAATCTGCATTTGATGCTGATCGTCTTCAGAAATATACTGGTAAGCAGGTTTCTTTGAGACTCTGCCTTTTGGGTTCTTTTTTACTTTGCCAACCCCACCCATTGCATGAGGAAAGCCTTCTAGTAGTGGCATGAGACTCTTGGTGTCCACTGATGCACTCGGGGGCTATGTATAGGATGTTCACTGAACAATCTCTCAATTTGTATACAAAGGTGGTCCCTTAAGAATGCGAATGAGTTCCACTCTTTCTTTTGCATATGTAAGTTATAGTCCTAATCCCTTTCAATCCAACTAACTACAATCTAAGGGGAATGCCTTTGCTATCATTAAGTTTAAGGTCCTCACATAACTATTACAAGTGAGGTAATCCAAGATCCAAAACATGTGTTGTCATTATTTTAGTCTTTTGTTGAAATCTTCTTTTCTTGTTGAAGTAGCTCATCATCTCGACAAAATATTGTGATAAATCCTAGTTTAAAATCTCTAGAATGACGCTCACTCTCTTAAATCTTTAGAATTTAATTCCTATTGCAATTTATTCTACGTCCTCAAGGTTAAATCAGGAGATTGAAAAGGATTTTAATTTGATGCAGCAATAGAGACACATTAGATTAATAAAATATAAAAGGGATCATAACTGATGTAGCAATAAAGATTCATAATGGAAGGAAGTAATAACAGCAAAATATGGCATGGAGGACAAGTGGATGACAGAAGGAGTGACCAGCCCTTATGATTGTAGTGTATGGAGATCAATCAGGAACTTATGGCTATTGGTCAAAGATAGAATAAAAATAAAGGTTGGTAATGGAGAAAAAGTGGCCTTCTGGAATGACATCTGGTGCGGACAGGAGACACTGAAACAAGCATTCCCTGAGCTACATAGTCTAAGTCAAGCACAGGAAGCATCAGTGGCAGACTTATGGACAGGGCAAGGGTGGAATTTACATCTGAGAAGGAACTTAAATGACTGGGAAATAACATCCATAGCAAGATTTCATGATACAATGGCTAGGGCTACCAATCTAACAGAAGAGCAAGATAGACTGATATGGAAAGGGGAGAGAAAGGGAGAGTTCACTGTAAGTTCTGCATATCGAGAATTGAGACCTAGTGAAGAGCAGCAAGCAGGATGGCCTTGGAGGATGATCTGGAGAACAAAAATCCCATACAAGGTGAATTTTTTCACATGGCTTTTGGCAAAGGAGGAAGTCTTGACACACGAAAACTTGAACAAGAGGAAACACAACCTTTGCTCTAGATGTTATTTATGCGAAGAACAGGTGGAGACAGTCAACCATCTCTTTTTGCACTGCAAATGGACAGATCAATTATGGCAAATGTTCATTCACAAGAGGAAGATCAAGTGGACAAAACCAGGGAGAATCACAGAAGTTCTAAAATGCTGGAATAGTGATGGAAATGCAGGAAAAAAGGAGGAGAGATGGAGGATTGTCCCAGCATGCATTTGGTGGACAATTTGGAATGAAAGGAATCAAAGATGTTTTGAAGGAAAGAACAACAATATTCAGAAGATAAAGATAAACTGCCTAGGTCTTTATTATTTTTGGTGTAAGCAAGTAGTAATAGGAAATTCTGAAGATGTTTCTAATGTTATTGACTGGCTGTAACTAAAAGATCTTAGGGCTGTTGTAAGTACAAATTTTTGGAGGGGAACTACACTTTGATGTAGTATACCTGTGGATATATAGAAGTAAATGTTACCTTTCTCAAAAAAAAATAAAGATTCATAAGATTAATTAACTATTAGAGCCAGAACAGAATAATTTTTTATTTTTTTTATGACAAGGGAAACCCGCAACCGCTATCCTTTGGATGCGCACAAGGTAAAACCTCCACTCCTATGCAATGGCTCGTAAACCACACGGGAGAGGTAATCCGCACTAGGAAATCCCGGTGCGACGAGCTTGATCCAGTAGGCAAACCCCTTGCTTTTGCTGGCAAGGGGTTTCAAACATGAGACCTCCAACATGGAAGTCCCAATCCCAAACCATTGGGCCACGGGCCACCCCGAAGGGTAGTCAGAACAGAATAATTACCTTGAAAGCATCTTCATTGGTTATGTTTGTGTTCAGCAAGTCTTTATGTTAAGCAACTCACGGTTGCAATCTATATAGTTTGACAAATGTCTTGAATGTTTTTGAGTTCTGATATCTTAAAACCTTTCCTGCGTACTTGTTTGAAGATAATCTCATTGCAAACACCATTTTTTAGGTCCTCAATTAAGGAAAATGTTGAACTGGTCAAGACCATTGCCTTTGGAGGATGAACGGGTGCGCTTATTGCATGAGGTACACCTTAATTCTTGATTTGGTGTTCTATGCACTCTTCTAATGCTTCAGCAGGTCATAATTTTTTTTTGCATTATGTGCATTCTCTTAATGTTCCAGAAGTCGTAATTTGCTGTGACTTAAAATAATGTGAACTCTTAAGCTTGTTAGTGAGCTAATAGCTCTGTGAAATCATGGTTAAGGTTGGGCTTGAGCTTGAGAGGAGCTTTGAGGGAAAGGCATCTAAACTTGTGGAGTCCTGTGACAACTCTGCTGCAAAACTTGTATCTCTTATGACACGCCACTTCCCTGGTATCGTTGTTTACTATAGTTTTCCTTTTAAATGTTACATTTGATCATTACTTCCAACAATGAGATGTAATAATATATGTATCTTTTCTTTTTTTTACTGTTGCAGGCTTCCGTGATCACACGGTGTACAAAGGCCACCAGATTTTCTTGTATAAAAGAGCTCAAATTTTTGCTGCTGATTTGTGGGGTGCATTTAAGGGTCAAGGATACGGTGATTTTGAAGACATAACCTCAATAACCATATTTGCTGATTATATTGTTCCAGCTGTCCTTCAGCAACTTGGAGTGCTGAGATATCGTTCTTCCCTGGATAATACTATCAAGAAAAATACTGAAATTGTCTCAGGCAGTGAGGAGGAAGTAGAACTCCGAGCCTGCTCTGTTTATGCTGTGGAGAAAATGAAGGAGTTGATCAGTAAAAAGACTGGGAAGCAGGTTGGTCTTGCTCATTCCTATTGTTTTGCTGTTCTTTGGTTGTTAGATTTGGTGATTCCTAACTTATACTCGGCCAATTTTATAGATTGAATATGCATTTTCTTGCATGTGTAAAGCTTGGTGTCTCTTATTGACAGGGTTGTGAGGAAACATGCAATATTTCATATACTTCACCTAGAACAATTATATCCCGAATTTGCAGATAGATGACTTCATGAAATAGAATAATCTACAATATAGAAAATCATTCTTTTAGCTTTAACAGTGGCTGATATTAATTGAAATTCTGGCCATCTAAAGTGTTGGTGTTGGATATTTGATGCCTACCCTTCGATTTTAAAGCATACAAAGTCAACTTGTATGTTTTTTTTTACTTTCTAATAAATAGTTATTACCAATTGGAACAAGAAATCATCAAATGGAAAATATTAGAAAAACAGTAGTAAAAGTGAACCTTAAAAAGGCAATAGGCAAACAAATTTCAGCTAACATGCCTACTCCAGCTATGGTTTGAATATATAGTTGTTGCTCCAGCTAAGGTTTTTCTTATACATCTTAAGGTAAAATACAAGACAAAATAAAAAGGTGAGTTACAGATCTATATACCTGATTTCACTGTACAAGCAATAAATAAATAAAGGCTGCTAGTGTGGTTACTGTTAGTCTGACATGTAACCTGTGTTCCTTGCAAGATATTTGGTAGAAATTTTTCCTTTCTAAAATTTATTAACTTGTTATTCCTGTTCTGTGTATTCTAAAGTGAGTTCCCAATTTTCTTTGTTTGAATGTCATTTTCACAAAAGTGTGACATCTCATTTGCTATCCAGGTGTTGAGTGTGGAACTGGATCTCTGGTTATGGGCTTTTGGCATACAATGCCCATCTCTTCAACACCATCGGACACTCTCGATCTATTATTGACTATAGAAATTAAGCTCCATTTCCATTGCAGTCTTGCATACAAATGATGGTTTTGGTTTTGGGATTTTGACATTAACATGTGTAGATGTAATAGTACAGAAATTATACAGGATTATTTTCTCCTCCTAGTGGTGAATTTACTTTTTTCAAGGAATTCAAAGGTTGAATATCAGTTTATGCAGTACCTAGTACCTTGTACAATGTTTGATGGGCTTTACACTCAGGGGCCGTTTGGTTACTTGCTGGTTAGCGTTAGGCAGATATTAGTTATGTAGGGTTTAGTTATGAAGGGTTTAGTTAGGTATGTATTAGTTATGTAGATTTTTAAAAAAAAATAGTAAGCTAATTTTTATTTCTTAATTTCAAAATGTTTAGTAAGCTAATATTTATACGTGTATTAATTATTTTATTTGTTGTAAATTAATATATTATTTAATTTCTCAAATAATTATAGCACTATTATACCGGCTATCTCAAATAATTCCAGTACCATTACAGAAGCATATTTTAAGTACTAAAAAGTATAACATCTGCAAATTAATTTCACATTTTTTGTCTTGATTCGTTTTTATTACTATTAAAAAAGTAGGAAGTAAAATAAAATAAGAAACGGTAAAAGTTCAGTTTTTCTTAATTATATATTAGGCCATGATAAAAGGGTAAATGCGTAATTTATTATTTAATACATGTATAACTAATACCCACATAATTTATTCTACCTTCTATCCTCGCATAACTTATACATAGATTCCCTCATAAGTTATGTAAGTATTAATTATGTAGGATTATAAAAAAAAATACAACCAAATACCGTATATAATTTTTATATAACATTTAAAAACTTTTCAATCAAACATTGTATAAAATTAATAATTGAAATAAAACATGGTATAAAACTAATACATGAATAACTAAAGTTATTATGTATTAATTTTATGTTTATCCCATAAGGCCATAACCAAACGGCCCCTCAGTTGACTAAGTATTTAAGTATATATATATATATGAAGTATATACTGATTATTCAATTTAGATCAACTCAAGATCACAATAGACGAAGAAAAAGACGTAGAAAAAATAGGACAGAGAATGCAGAAGAAGAAAACGTAGATGGCCATAACATAGTTATGAGTCGATATATTGCATAATTTTTCTTAAATTATTTAAATCGTAAATATAATTTATACTTAATTACAAATATAATGATAATGGTTGATCAATAACAACAACATTATAAGAAAAGTCATTAATTATGCTCAAATTTTCTCCTTTAAAATACTCTAATTTAATTTAGTTATCATTTTTTATTTTTAAAAATTTATGGAATTAGGGGTCGTTTGTTGTCGAGGATAATATCATATAGTCATGTAATTAAATTACAATGCTACATAATTTGTTGTTTGGTTGATAAATTCAGGATAACTTATTTTGAGATTAATAATTATACCGAAATAAGTTATTCGTCCCCTTGGGTAATATAGTAATCCTAAGATAACTTATCCCGAATAAAATATGTAAAATGACGAATATATCTCCGTAAACCTTTTTTATACATCACTTTTCGCATTCATGTGTATATACATTACTTTTAAAATCATGTATAACAAAATGAGGAAATTTCGCAAATAACCACTATAATAAAACTTAAATAGGCTTCGTAGCTATAGTTTGCATATTTACGGTTGTACTATAGTTTAAGCTTATACGGGTGACTTTTTTTGTATAATTCACGGTATTTTTATATAATTCGCGTGTATTTCTATAATTGAGTTATTTTCGTATGTATTTGTGTAAATCGATTAGTTTCAATTGATTTATATTCGTTTTTGTATAAATTATTTCTGATTGATTGAATTGACTGATAATTGTAGCTTTGGTGGAATAAGTGTTTGTATAATGAGCTGTTTCTGTCCGTGATTGTATAAACGGAGTAGTAACAACTGTTACACAAATTATATTACAAATTCTGAAATTATATAAATATGATAAAAACTTGAAATATCGAATTTGTACAAACACAAACATATGAACTTTAGACAGTTATACAAATTATATTATACAAAAGTTACGCAAATTATATTATACAAATTTCGAAAATTACACGTTTATACAACTCAAACTTGGCCGCGTAATATAGCCTAAAAATTAGTGGTGAATGACAATTAATTCAAACTGTAGCTATGTTAACTAATTAACTAGTATATGTTTGTTTATCCGCATGATTTCTCCGAATAAAATTTACAACTTTCAGTACTCCTTATATTTATAATAATTCTTCCTATTTATCTATTAAAAAATTACACTATATAAATATAATTTTTATCATGAAATTTTTGACTAATTCTTCTATTTATTTACATTTTGATTTCTCTTAAATCTTTTTTTACTTTAACAAACTTAAGATGAAAATTCTATTTTAAACTTAAATAAAAAGAAAAAATTATTTTTAAATATATATTGTACGATCATGGAAAGTGAAAATTTTAATTTTTAAGAAAAAATTAAAGTTCGTAAAGAAAATATAAGAAGTTAAATAATGCGAAAAATATTTTTATAAACAAATACGTAACCCGTTCTTATTTTAATTAGGAGTATTTTTTTTCACGCGTGTTAAGTTGTTTGTATATGTATAAAAAAGAGAGCCACCTGCCATTTTAGAACCTCAGCACCGTGAGTTTTAGTAACAATTTCCATCAAAGAAATGCCAGAAATAGAGCTCAGAGCCTCTCCTTTAAAGCCAAAACTTTCAAGGGGAGTGCACAAGACGCGCATGGGAGTCAAAAGAAGGTAAACCTTTCCTGCCATTTGTTCCTGACCTGAATACGAATTAAGAGTTGATTTTTTCTAGTGGATGTTTCTGTCAATTAGCTTCATTTCTTTAACCCACTTCTCAAGCTTATCTTAGACTGCATTCTTATTAATCATGAAAGCATTAGAAATTACAATGTCTCTTTCTAAGTCTCCTGGGCTACATAGTCTCTTTCAAATTCCATCTTGCATATGTTCTGATTTTGTAATAGTGCCTGACATTTTTATTCAAATATTCAGAATTTACACCTACAAAAACTAAAGTTTCTTAAATTCTGGGACAAAATGGAGGTACTTCCCTCCAGAAATTACAGTTGAGTACCTTAACTTAAGTTCCAATATGGCCTTCTTGGTTTCTCATGAATTTCCTTATAATACATTGTAGTCTATAGGATTACTTTAACTACGGTTTCGTATGCTTTATGTACACCAGCAACATCAAAATACAGCCATTCCGATGATATGCATGCTTTCCCAGTGAGCTCTGGCCTTTAAGGAGAGGCTCTGAGCTCTACTTCTGACGTTTCTTTGTTGGAAGTCGTTGCTAAAACTCACGGGAGGCCAAATGAACATCGTAAGGTTTTGAAGGTAAAGTCCTTTTGAGTTTTAGTTGGTAGTATCCACTAGGATAGGTATAAAACTACTAATTTGGTCTTTGTTCTTGCTATTATTTACAGGGCAAGTGTTTGTTCCTTGGAATTGATAATTGTAGACAAGATGTTGGTACGAAAGGTAATTCTGTATAAACCTGGTTGACTACTGTTTGCTAATAAGGAAATTTGTTGGGACTTTTTTTTTTCAGTCATTATTGTTCATGATGTATTTTACAACCAATAAGTTCGAACTTCCAAGGAAGCAAATGCACTCAAGTACTTCTAGTTTTCTCACAATTCAATCAAACAAAAAATATTGATTTACTTACTTTACTTCTTCAGCTGTACTTTGTCATTGTTTGCATATAGAATCCGGAAGCCCAAAGAGGGTCTTGCATTCTCTGGAAGAGACTCTGCTAAGAATCGCCCTTGTGCATTCCAGTGTCCCCTTCAAAATTGTTGATATTGGTAGGTCTGTCTCTGTTATTCAAACTAACTTAAGGATATTTCCTGTCTGGTATCTTAGATTTTGTTCATTAGCATGCCGTGAGGATGACTTGCTTTGCACGCATGCTTCTCCTTTTCCCCATTGCCACTATTGTCCAGTGGGTTTGGGATTCATCTGAGTTCCCTTTATAAATTGAATGCAAGTGATGGTTCATTCAAACTCTCAGGATACATCTCAGGTCCTGATGTTTACACTGAAGCCCAAATTGATGGATAAGTTATCTTTTCTACAGTCTGTTTCCCTAACAGCGACGTTCAATTTGCAGGTCATTCAATTTTTCTGGGGTATTTCAGTATACTTTCTTGACCAAAGAAAAACGGAAAACTAATCTCTGGTTAACATTTTCTATATCGGATGCTTGTTTTTTAAGGTGTTTCTTTTTTCCTTGACCTTAGTAATGCAGATATCAATTCAAGATTTGTTTCCAAAGGACCAATACATAAATTACTTAATAACATAGCTATGAGTTTTGACAGTGCTTCTGACATTGAGAAGCGAAGTAGATCTCGGATATATCCACTTTTTTTGTTGAACCTCAACTGTCCAAGATCTTTATATGATTTGACTTTGGAGCCTTCAAAGACCTCTGTGGAATTTAAGGTGAGATTTTTTGTTGGGATTTACGGTTTCATTCGTTTTGGGGTTAGGAAACAAATGTGAGGCTTTGGATTTATTTTATAGAATTGAGTTTGTGTTAGTGTTTGTTTTGTGAGAATTGGTTTGAGTTGTTTTCTGTAAAAAAATATTTCAAACACCTAATAATTTTTTGAAAATTTCAATATGAGTGAAATTAATAGGTTAAAACTGGCTAAACCATTATTTATTACTAAATCCTATTGGATTTCAAAGCATTAAAAGGACCCCCTGACCCAGGCAAGGTCCTTGCATCACAGCTGTTCCCTGAGAACAAAATAATATCCCTTTGTTTTGGGAGAACAATGCTAAACCACGTTTCTAGCTTCTTTTGGTTTCAAAACCAAACAGGCCAATGTAAACCAGGACATGTCATACATTTGTTTTACTGATTGGAGTATTGTATTTCGTAGTACAATGTTTGCTCTTTTCTAGGACTAATAATTCTCCCAGTTCGAACTTAAGTCTCCAGGTTTTTGCTTACCCAATCATTTCTGCTTCCCTTTAAATGGATTTTGCAGTTTTTAAAAATAATATACGTCAATTTTCATAGATCTAGATACATGCTACATCAATCTTCTTGGAGCCTTGTTATCTTTAGGAAATGGTGAAATCCAGCTGTATAATGATTGATTTCTGACCTAGTATTTTTTGAAATGATATGGTTCGTTGCCCCGAGTGAGTCTTCAAGAAAGGCAGCAGGAAATAATAATATTAAGACTGGTCATGATGTGCCACTCATGCCAGGTAATTTGTCCTTTAGTTCTTGTTTCTATCAATAATCAATGATGACAGGAAATGTGTTTTAATTATCTGTGATTGTAGACGTAAAAATCTTAAGAATTATTTGATACCACGAGCTATGCTCTCCTCTCAGGTGGATGGGGACTCGCATAAATGGATTGATGCTGGAAATCGAGGTAAAACAGATGATGAGCCCATAAGGAAGAAGAAGAAGAGTAGAAGAAGTCATTCAGCTCCTCCCTTTACCAAGGCAAGAAGAAGTTCCTTGCCACGAGTGAGTCTCCAAGAAAGGCTGGACGAAATAACAATATTAAGACTGTTCATGATGTGCCACTCATACCCTAAGTTGCTTGGACTCTCCAAATATGTTGCCACACCCGTGTCGGATCCTCCAAAATTGCACCACTTTGGAAGGATCTGACACGCACTCGATGACATTTTTGAATAGTCCGAGCAACTTAGCTCATACCAGGTAATTTGTCCTTGAGTGCTTGTTTGTGTTATATAATCTCTGATGACAGAAAATGTGTGCAACTAATTAATGTTCTTTTCCATCATGCAGAAACTAGAGCAGTATGGAGACTGCATCATTCTGCAGAAGCTATCTGCTCGGAGCTTCCACAGCTGTCATCCCACCAATGCGATCCATATACTTCAGCTAGAACAATTATTTCGTAAATTTGCAGATAGATGACTTCATGAACTAGACTAATCTACAATATAGAAAATCATTCTTTTAGCTTTAACAGTTAAGCAACTGATATTAATTGAAATCCTGGCCATCTAAAGTGTTGGTATTAGATATTTGATGCCTACTCTTTGATTTAAAAACATATAAAAGTGAGTCAGGAATTTTCCATTTATATGTTTTTTTTACTTTCTAATATATAGTTATTGCCTATTGGTACAGGAAATCATCAAATGGAAAATATTAGAAAAATAGTAGTAAAAGTGAGGCTTCGAAAGGCAATAGGCAAACAAATTGCAGCTAACATGCCTACTCCAGCTAAGGTTAGAACATGTAGTTACTACTCCAGCTAAGGTTAGAACATGTAGTTACTGCTCCAGCTAAGGTTTTGGCTTATATCATGTTGATGTCTTAAGGTAAAATACAAGAAAAAATAAAAAAGGTGAGTTACATGTCCAATGGTTAAGGTAGGTTATATCTGAGCTGAGATCTATATACTTGATTTCATTGTAGAAGCAATAAATAAATAAAGGCTGCTAGTGTGGTTACTGTTAGTCTGACATGTAAGCGGTGTTCCTTGCAATATATTTGGTAGAACTTCTTCCTTTCTAAAATATATTCACTTGGTTATTCCTGTTGTATGTGTATTCCAAAGTGAGTTCCCAATTTTCCAATTTTCTTTGTTTGAATGTCATTTTCACTAAAATGTGACATCTCATTTTGCTATCTAGGTGTTGAGTGTGTAACTGGATCTTTGTTTATGGGCTTTGGGCATAGAATCCCCATCTCTTCAACACCACCGGACTCTATCTATCTATTATTGACTATTGAAATTAAGCAATTTATTAACTTAAAATTCACGAAAGGCAGCAACATTAGGATGATTAGTCCTAGTATGAAGTTTACCGTGTTACGATTCAAAAATTATTTATGGTCTCACTGTTGATACCAAGCTATTACATTTTGAAGAACTTGTCTTCATCTTTAGATGCTTAGAATGCCTAGTTAGGCTTTATGCATCTCAGGTTTGCTTCTTTCAATTTGGTCTTATCTTCCTTCAGTAGCTGTACATGCACATCCCCAGCTCAAGAACTAGCATCCATGTCGCAGCTGCTCCCTTGTTGATGGAGCGAAGGATTCTTGGTGATTGGCAGGTTTCCATCATAAGTACATTGCGGAATTCCTGGATTCCTCATAAGTCTTGGCCCAAGGGGCACTTTATTGACCTTTGGGCGAATATCCTGCACCAAACAACTGATTCTGTTGGAATAAACTAGAACTTCCCTCTCATGAAAACCAGCAATAGAGGCTGATTTCTTAGAACCAGGTTTAAATGGATCTAGATCAATTTCAGTTACATGCATCTATCATTTTTAATTACCCACATAATGTTGTTTCATTTGACACTTGCATGGAATTTCGGTCCTGGTCATGTGATAAACATTGATTTTGATTCTAAGAGGATATAAGATTGTGTCAGACTAGACTGCTTGTTTTATCTTCCATGAATAAGAAATGAGAAAGCTATTTGTATGTGCAGCTTATTTGTCCGATAATCCATTAAGGTATTTAAATAAGCTTAGCACAGGAAAAGAAAGCCATCTTAGAAAGAAATTTGGAGGCAACAGAAATGGAATTTCCTAAGTGGTTCATAAGGAAAAGATTATGTAGAGACTGAAGCAACTTGTAATCCTTAAGTCAGTAGTATTTAGTATTATGTGATGAGCATTTAACAGTCTCATCTTCATAGTTATTTGTCTGTCCAGCACAACAAGATTTAGAAATCAGCAGGAAATGTGTGACTATGACTTACTGATTTAGCTATAGGCTATAAACTGTAGTAGAAAAGATATTTATTTTGCATGTGTGAACTCCAAAGGTATTTAGTAAAAGATGGGACTCCTTGGATACACAATCCTTATTAGTATTATTGTTATTTATTTTTGTTTCAGATTAGGAAACCGGAAAAAACAAATTCATTTCTTGCTAGTTGTTCTGAGAGATGAAGACACATCCGAACTTAGGTATTTCTGAGAAAAGTAACATAACAGGCCTAGAGATGTGTCGGAATCTTGGTTATCTCCAGAGTTTGTATATGCAGAATATTTCTTTTAAAAGAATGTTGGACATAAGATTGTACAAGAACATTGACTTTGGTAAGCTCATCGTCTTTGTTTCTTCCTATATGTGTGTTTCCTACTGACTTCCAGGAGCTTCTTAGAATTGTTCTTGCGGACATTTATTGCCTCTAGCTTAATCTGGTGAAAGATATTATACTGGTTGATCTATTTCAGATAACTGAACAATTATACCAATTACTTCTTCCATTTGCTTGTCTAGCCCATCTGTCGTCAATAAACTGGGAAACTACTCATGTTTTATCTTGTCATAGCTGGCTTCTCTGAAGTACCTACGTATTCACATGCTGATTACTGATACTATGCTATAGTTGTAGTTCTATCTCCTAAAATAGCTTGGATTTCAGTATTGCATAGAATTGTAGTTTGCAATTGCTATCAGAGAGGATATTCCTATAAGATGCCTTGACTTAGTTTGATCTTGCCATGGATTACTCCATGCTTAACAGCCCAGGACCCCAGAAGATATAGCAATTTCAGATATTGGAATCACTAGATGAGGGTCACCTCTATTGGACTTGTAGGTTGCAACTCTTAAATTTATGATAATTGAACCTTGAGAACTTCTAGTACCTGGTCAAAAATAGCAGTTGGAATGGCAAGGGTGGCAACAGCATTGGGAGCATCAACAATTCCTGAAATCCTTCCTTCGCAGGGACAGCACGAAAGTAAAAGATAAACCTGATAGCACCAACATAATGTTCATAATTACTCAAATTTCTTTACTCTCCTGAATGTTAATGTTATCTATTCCCGAGAGTCTTCTGTTACAAGAAGATTTTCAGGGAGAGATTTTTATTACCTGTTCCTTTGAGTAGCCAAATTTTGAGAGGTAATCAATTGCATTTAGTACTGCACGCTTGTATGCAACACTGGCATCAAGATAGTGTTGTTGTCCACTTTCATCTACACTGATGCCCTCAAACACCAACCACTCTGAGAATCTTGGTTCCATGGGCCCTATCTCAAAAATTGGGTTCACATGTAGTGGTGTGGGTCCCATTGGAGTGAGATATTCTTTCATTCCGTTTCTTAAAATCTCACACCTGTTTACAAGCAAAAAAACGTAAATCTAAATCTGGTAAAGGTCTATTGTTTGCTTATAAATGCAGAGGTGTAGCGCATAGAAAGAAAGGCACTTGATGCAAAAAGAGTGGTGCTTAAGGAGGTCTGTCTTGTGTTCTTGCTAAAGAAAATAAAAGTTAATAGCTGGTGTTGTTTTTCAGGTTGTACTTCATAGTTCAGGTTCATATATAAAAAAGTTCTAGGATGTTAGAAATAAATAAGATTTAGGAGTATGTAGTTTTTAGTTTGTTTGTTTTTTAAATCTACATAGCCAAATTACATTATACATTTTTTGGCTTCTTTATAGTTATGCTCCAGCGATTAATTGATAAAGAATTAGGTGAGCTAAGCATAACTGACTTCCCAACTTGGGTGTTTCCAACATGGTACATATTTTTTTTTAAAAAAGGGCTGTTGTATTGAAATTCTTCACTAAACCCTGGGAATCAGTTGCTCTATGCCAATACGGATACCTTTGCAACTCTTATAGTATATTTGTGAGTACCTTAAGATAGAGAATATTGATGTAGCATATTAGCAGTGATGTGAAAGAGGGTGGCATAGGAAATAGCACAAAGTTATTAATGGAGCCCAGTTTTGAAGTTACTTTATATTAGCCTGTAATGTGCTTGTTGATGTAAGGGATTAACTCTGATAACAGTCAATCTCAAGGCAGCAAAAGATTATTTAGTCATGACAATTTAGCGCTAAATGAGATGTGGAAAGTACTTGAGCTCTAGGAAGCCACTCATCTCAATTGCCCCACAAAATGATACTTCACCGTCACCTTGAGAAAAATGCATATCACCAGTACTGAGGTTTGCTCCTTCTACAAATACTGGAAGGTATATTTTTGAACCTCTGCTGAGATTTTTGATGTCACAGTTTCCTCCATTTTCACGTCCAGGTATTGTTCTTGCAGCCTCATCGGCAATTCTATTCCACTCAGCAGTTCCATCTTGAATCTACATTATAATCACGAGTTGTCAAAAAAAAATGATGTGCTTGGCAGTGAAGTTCGTTTGCTCATTCTCTTTCTCTCTTCAGTTTGTTTAACATATTGCTATAACAATTGCAAGCCATCATACCTTGCCAAGAATGCACCCTTTTGTTGAAGGTAGGTTAGCCAATGGTCTAGAATGCAAGACCTCACATAATTTGAGAGACTGGGGACCAGTTTCTTCGAGCTTTCTTTCCCTCTCATTCCATATATTGAGTAGTTCTTTTGAAGGCGCTGTTCCAATTATTCCAGGATGAACTAAACCAGGAAATCTTACACCTGTTTGTGAGATTTTCAGTAGATCTTATCAGGATTTGATAAGTATATATGTCTAGGATATATTAGGAGAAGATATGCAGCTTTACCTGGTATATGAGGTGAGTAGGCATATATGCCTTCGAAATACCAAATAGCTTTAGTTGCACGGGGAAAATGGTCTGTTAGAAATCCTCCACCGTTCTCTCTGTCGAATATTGCTGTAAAACCCCATTCATCTCCAGGGAGAGGCCCTAAGTTGCATATTTCAACAGCAAGGAGGTCACCTGGTTCAGCAGGATTTCCATCTGTGTCAACTACTCTTATTGGCCCACTGAGATAATGGACCTGCATAGGAGAGTAATATGATTCAGCCTGAAGTGATTTCTAACATCTTATGACTTAGGATCTAGGACTCTTTGTTGGTTAGATTCACTGAATTTGTTAGTTTATGCACACTTACAGTGGATAGATCAACAGTTTTTACATCAATTGCAGAGTTATTATCTTGGATAGCGCCTGCTGTCCAATCAACCATCTCAATTCGGAACATCTCCCCTGTTTTAATCTCAGTTACAGGAGGTATCTCTGGGTGCCAACGGTTGTGGAGTGGCAACTTTTGTTCCCATGGCTTCTTCTTTAGGTCTATGGGGATTACTAGTCTTGGAGTTGGAGGAGCCATAGTGTGACTTGGTGTTCTGTGAATCACTGAGCATGTTTACTTCCATTACATGGCACTCTAAGGGAAGCAGCTGACAAGCTTCCTAGCTGAGTGGGACAAGGTTGCTAGCTGACAAATGGGAGTCACATCACAGTAATGGTCACGGTTTGTCTTCTTGAAAATGCCAAGATATTGGAGTATTGGACATTTGGACTACGGACAGACTTGACATTAGTTCAATTGCTAAGGAATTATATTCAACTTGGAAAACTCCCCAACACTAGTAAGAAGAGTGACCAAAATATTCATAATATATAAAGTAATTTTGCCCGAGGCAAGAAAAGCTTAATCTTCGCGTGAAACCAACTAACTCAATCCAGCCCATTAAAATTAGAGCAAGATATAGCTCTTTCTAGCTTCAATGGCAACTTCTCTTAAACCTTGGACCTTCTCTAGTTTACATGCTACGCCTTATCTATTGAATTTTTTATTTTATTTTTGGCTATTGGTGGGATCCTAGGATAATCTTTCTTTTTATTCAGGGTTGAACTTTGACTGTTAACTTCGTGTCGAACCATTTTCTTTCACAAAACTTGTACAAGTTCGGAAGAGGGGGTTCAGTTCAATAGAAGTAACAAATGTCGAACACATAGAGATAAGAGAGTGCTGTGAAGAACTCACAACAGACAGATTGTGAGAGATCAAATAGGCCCTAGCTAGATTCTCAAGCTCAGATTCACCCTAAAAGCCCTTCTTTAAGCTTTCTTATTCACTTTTTAGTGCATAACTTATTCTTTCACCTATGTTCAAGCATATGGTTAGGATTTCCCTCCATCCTTTCAACAGAAAGAGGCAAAATCAGAACAAATCAAGTCTTGTTTGTAGCAGATAAAGGCTACCTTAATCCGTCTGCAAGCAACATTTGCCACTCATCAGGGAATAATGCAAAAAGTTTTATCCAGATTAAGTTTTGGTGTGATGACTTGATTTAACCTTTCATTTGTCTTTAGTGATTTATGAGAATACACATTAATCTTGGAATACCTGTTGTTTAGGATTAACAGAGATACAGCAGTTGCATTCTCTGTGAAACAGAGCCAAAAAAAAAGAAAAGTGTCAAGTATCATCATTTTGAGGACAGAAAAAATGGTCCTAAAGCTAATCCTATCCCTAATTGCCTTTTGTAGAAGACCCCACAAATCAAAATCTATAGGATTTGCCAATATCTTTTGATGGCTTCATTTCACTGCAAGTGCTTGGTTTTTTGTCTGCCCACAAGGATGATGGTCCCTCAACGGCTAAACGAAGTCTTCTAGTACTTATCTCAGAGAATACTTTTCTACATATCACATATGTGGTTGCAATATCTTCACCATGTTCCTTAGTTTGATTATTAATTGCATCCTGATTGGAACATCTTCTCTTGAAAAATGTTGGATACTTTCTACCCAGGCGATTTTTCGACCAGAATTTATTATGTGAGAAGTATACCCTCGTATCAATTAGGTGAACTTCATACAAAAATTAGGTACTTACTATATTTGAATCCTCTACCGACAGATGCACCAGTCACACTAGGGCACTAGCGGCCCATCAAAGCTCCAAAACTAGTAAGGGCACTCTTGCTCGAACAAATATTAAGTTATGCCAAAGCTGGAAATTTTTGGACTTTTATAAACTTTAGTGATTCCTGTTTCTGTAGATTAAGGTTATATGTATCCGCTTGAAATTTAACTTTTTCAACAAGTTGCAACAGTGTTCATCAACTACGCATGTCCAGCAATTCCAAAAATAGGTGACTCCTTCTTTCTAATCAGCTGGGAGATTTGCGATTGCGAAATCGACTCTCTGATATGCTTGATGTCAATTTGCACTATATCCTTTTCCATCCAAGGAGAATTAACTTATATACACTCACCCAACTGCTTAAACTAAAAATAGTTAGTGGGTGTGAAATATGTGTAGTATCGATTAGAAATAGTAAAACATGAATCCGGCCAGCTATTATTGTAAAGATCCCAATTAAAAAGAAACAAGATTGTAGGTTACACAGACTTCCTTAATTACTAACATAGAAACAATAAGACATTTAATTAACTTGCTATATATATAACCTTAAAATTAACCCGGTTTCTGAAAAAAAATGTCCATAAAGAGAGTATCTCTGAGAAACCCAAAGATAGAGGTGATGAAAAAGGGATGGGCCGAGGCTGCAGCATATGTGAACCATGTGATAATGTTTTGTTAAAAATTGTACAGTCAAGCATATTTGTATTTGTGATTATCAACATCTATGTATACAGAGAAATTTCAGCAATGTCCCCTCAGAATTCTTTTTATAAAATAGGAGAATTAATCTAAATAGTCATCCATCCAACTGATTAAACTAAAAATAGTTGATAGATGTATAATTTGTGTATGATAGTAAATAATGAATGTATAATTTAAGTATACCAACTAGAAAAGTAACAATTTTATTCGTGTAAAGATTCTTAAAAAACAAGAAGATCCGCTATTTAAATTTGATTAGATTGTTAGGTGCTGTTTTCATACCACAGCCTTTTTTCTCATTGATTCTTAAATCTTTTGCTTTTCTCATAACAAATCGCGTCAGCGTCCAAGTTATTATAACTCAAAACATTATGATAAAGCAAGCTAACATATCTTCTTTTCAAAATCTAGTATTCTATCTTTCAAGAAACTAAAGCCGTCTATAGATATCATAGAAAATTTTAACTCTTTTTTAGATTATATATTTCACATTTTAAAGAGTGTTATTCGTACGATATATCCTTTGAATAATACAAAGACTAAAGTGAAAAATAAATGTGCTATTTTTAGTTAATCAGAATCATTTTGCGTCCACTTAAGATTTTTCTCTGTTGCAACTCCCTTCTTTGCACCATTATATTGTTACCTCAAAATTGAAAATACATGTCTAAGTCAATACAATCGCAAAGACGTATATATAGTAAGGTATGTATTGAGAAACTAGATAGTTTTCTTCCCTATGATTTTCTAATAATGTTATTTACTATTAAATTTTTTCATTAGATAATTACCCAGGTTTCCTTTTTGTTTCCTACTCAACACATTTTATTCGAGTTAGACAAAAACCATGCAAACTTCTCCCAACCTAATCATCAAAAAGATGATATCACCTATTTGGCTACACTTTTTTTCTTCTTACAATTAATTAAGGGGAGCCTAGTGAAATCATTTCATCAGCAGACGAAATTAACCTTATCCACTCGTTTGCATAAAATGAGTACTTCCCTCTGTCCCAACATTCTTTTAGTCCATTTCAAACAAAATATCATTTTCTACCATTCAAAAACAATTTAACTTTAAAATATCTCATTTATCCATGATAAAATTATTTTCAACCATACAAATTGTCTTTTAGACTATAAATTTCAAAAGTTCCCATTTTAGAGGGTATTTGGATTGGCTGAAAAGTTGATCAAACCTATTTTTAAGTCAATTTTTTACTTCTAAAAGTGCTTGTCAAATATACTAGATAACTTAAAATAAGTTAGAAAGTGTTTGTCAAGGTCAAAATGACTTAAAATAAATCAAAAACCTAAAATAGGTCTCCTCTTACTTATTATTTTTTGAGTTAAAAATTATTTCAGTTTGATTTTTTATTTTTGACTTAAAAACTATTTTTTTAAAATCAATTCAAACGGACCCTTATACTTTAGTCTTTGATACACTATTACAAAAATAGTCTTTTGATTGTCCCCACCATCCCCATGGTGTGTGTCCTCAGTGGGTCAAATGAATTCTCATTAACCTTTGGCCACTTGCTTATCTATTTGGTTCTTTTTTTTTCTTTCTTTTTGTGATTGAAGGGGAATTGTCCCTACAACCTATGATTCATCGACATGTTCATTTGCTAAAAATATATAGAAATTGGTTGCATACCAATAGTATAATTGAGTACTCTTATGGAAAAATTAAAATAATGAAAGCGATAGGTTATCATATCAACATCCCCAAAAGCAGTGATATAAGAAAAAAGGAAAAGAAAAAAAAATTAAAAAATCCAACGGTTGATAGACAGCCATCCGCGGAGACCCGGAGCCGCTTTCGCCCCCCAATACTTTTGGAATCTAACACAACCACACAAACCCAAACTTGACTCTAGTTAACTTTAGTCTGAAAAAAATTTAAAGTAGTTCATTTAAAAGAAAAATATTAAGCAAGATAATGTAATTTTCTTGTATTATTGGTGTGAGTTAATATGTTATTAGCAAGTTGTACTTCGTAGTTATTAGATACAATTATTATGGCAAGCTACTTATATTATCTCCTATAAATGTGACCTAATAATATAAGTATTCTTTAAATTAATGTTCCCCGTTTGAAGCAGATAAATAAAAATAATTTATCTTATATTTAAGATTACAAAAGTCACATGCTGAGAATGCAGCTTATGTTTTAACGATGCTTACCTAAGATATATATTATTTGAATGGCTATAATTTTTTTTATACTGGCAATATATAACATTTAAATTTCAATCATTTAGATGTTTAAGTTCTAAGCATTAATAGTGCAAAACAAATTTGAATTAAGTTTTATACATTGTTAATATGTGTTTTACATTATTGGCTCATTCAAAAATAAAATAAAATTAGTAACCCCCTTAAAATGTGGGATTTTTAATGTAAAAAAGAAGACAAATATTGTACTTGTTAGTACAACATATAATGATATAAATTAAGTGGTTTTTTTCAGGAGACTCAAAAATATAAATACGATAGGTTATATTAATGATGTAAAAAATGTCGAAGTAAAGTCTTTATTTAAAAGTCACTCCATGATTAAGAAATTTGAAATTAAGAAAGAAAAAACTTGAAGCCGACTGTTTCTCTCTCAACCTCATTGTTTATATATAGGCACATTTCATTCTCTTTCCCCTTGCCTATTACTACTATCCAAGTTTCTATTTCTTGCTGCAAAAGTATATTGCTATCCTTTTGATCTTTCTTCATGCTCCGGTAATCATTAAATACAAAACGGAAAAATGAGTTGTAATGGTTGTCGAGTCCTTCGAAAAGGATGCAGTGATAACTGTATTCTGAGACCTTGTTTGCAATGGATCGAAACACCTGAAGCACAAGGACACGCTACTGTATTTGTAGCTAAGTTTTTTGGCCGTGCTGGACTTATGTCTTTCATTTCCGCCGTTCCAGAAAACCAACGGCCTGGTATAGTCTCTTGTTGATTAATTTGTTCAATTTTTTTTTGGTTTATGAACTGATGATTTTTGTGTATTTGCTTGCAGCTTTGTTTCAGTCCTTGTTATACGAAGCTGCTGGGAGAACAGTAAACCCAGTGAACGGCGCTGTAGGTTTATTATGGACGGGAAATTGGCACGTCTGTCAAGCGGCGGTGGAAACCGTCCTCCGCGGCGGCGCGTTAAGGCCGATCTCCGAATTTCTCGGCGCGTCGGTAGAGATTGATGAGGTGTCTGATTGCACCGATGTATTTAAGCTTCAGGATCCAAGGAAGATGCAAAAACGACGTCGTTTCCCCGAGGAAACTTCAATGTTGGCGGATCTCGATCTCAGTTTAACACCAGGTTTTAATCAGAAAGTGTATAATAGCCACCCTTTGCCGGAGAATCATCGGCGACCTGGAACACCGTCGATGAATTCAGAAGAATCTGGAACAACTACTTGTTTTGAGAGTACTGCTGTCATTGGAGAAGAACCCAAATTACTCAGCTTGTTCAATTAGTTTGTACTAATATTTTCCTTTTTCTTTTTACTATGGGGAAGGGTTTTGTAAATCATTGGCACTGGATTTCCCTCCTTTCAAACTTGTTTATTAGGAACAGTAGAAAGGAGGGGAAAGTGAAAGTTTGTCCGATGATTCCTTCCTCCTTTTGTTATTTTCTCCTTTTTGTTTTTGTTCTCATGTTCCATAACGACTCTTATGAATGTTGGACATTGAATAAACTGATTGTTAATCTTCCTTTACTAGATTTTAGTTCATACTTAACTAGTATAAATTTTAGATCTATCATTGATAACCGAATTACGTCTCAAGATAAATGATAAGGAGAAAAGATGCTTTGATCATCTTTTTATGGTTAATAAGAGGTTACCAAAGTCCTCAATTAGATAAGATTTTGGACTTAAATTACCATTTAGTCACCATCATATTCTCAGGGCATCCTAAAAATGTGTTTTATTAGGCCAAAGCTGACAAGGTAAAAGGTTGTGATCATTGAAATGCTAATTAGGATAAGAATTTTAAGAGAGAATAAAAAGACTTCCAAATAGGTAGGGGGAAAGAGTCAACATAATTGACTTACCCACGTATATAGGAGAGGTAGATATATCCAAGAAGAAGTAGGTCGAACATTTGTATATTTTGATTGGAGGAATCCGTAGTTATCCAAAGTTGAGGTAAGCAAAACATTAGAAATGGAGTTATTATTGTAAATGAAAGGGACAAGCAAGTGGGTATATTATTGTGGGCCGTGAAAACCTGCAAATGGACAAAAGGGGTTGGATTTTGCGAATCGAAGAGAGAGAGAGAGAGAGGCGGCTTTTGGAGAGCGTTAAGAGGCGTAGTACTAATACTACTATTCTATTCTAAGAGTAATCCGTATTTTTTATTTGCTACTTTATCATTAATTTAATATTTTAAAAGTAAATTATAATATTTAAAAATTACATGAAAATATTGTAAATTATAACTTTATCATAT